ATCTTCTTGGTGACCAGGTCGGCTGTCAGATGGGCGAGTTGTGTGTGCAGGGAGGGATGGCAGAATTTTAGAGGAAGGGTTGACAATCAACATCTTGGACAACCAACATCTACACCTTCCATGGTGGTTGGATTAAATGCCGGGGGATGTTCCTGACATTGAGTAGAACTGAAGAAATAGCTTGGGGAAGCTACAAACCATCTTCAGCATTACAGAACAAATCCAGCTGAATGTGACAACTGTAGCTGGCTACACCATGACCTGGATATATAGAACATTCATCTCAGGAAGGGTTCCACTGGTGACAGACAGCACTGCCAGTGGCATCATCTGCAGGTGGCTCTAGAGTCAGGGGTCAGGCTGGTGTGGCCTGGAAGATGCATGGAAGGAAGTCTACTTCCTATCAGAATACAGACAGATAGGATACCAAACTTGTGTTCCACAAGAAGGTCCTGAGGGCCAAATGTGCTGCCAAAAGTTGGACAGCCCTGAGCTATACAATCAATGAGAACCTCCACAGAGGGTTTGAGGAATATTTTATTGCGGTGATGAACCCCATCGTCCTTACCTGTTTTCGTGTATTCCAAGTGTCCAAAATGGGGAGATCTCAGAATGACGTAGACAAGGTCGTCATCGGGGCTGTCGGGATCCGAGGCCTTCAGGGTTCGTGATGTGATCTGGATAACAGATTTCCCATCTTTCAGGTTTTCCACCGTAGACGGTCTCTCCTTGTGCAGAATTTTGGGGGGCATTTTATCCACATGCTCCACCTAACCAGGGCAAAGGGAGAGTCTGTTAGACCTATGCATTGCGGTAATGCACAGAAAACACGTGACCCGAGGTAATGCACAGTTGGTGGTGCCATTCATTGTGAATTTTTATGGTGAGAAAGGATGAGCCATAGGGATTGGTCCAGATATGATTTTTTTTCCCCGTCACATCAAAGGGCCTACTAAGATTTGAGCATCAACGCATTTCACTGCAAAGTGGCCACTTTGTCAGGGCAGATGTAAGGGGCACTTTTCGGGAAAACATGTCTGGCTCGCCTAAAAGTGTTCCATACACCTGTCCTGATGAAGTGGCCACATTGATGCCAGATAATGCGTTGGTGGTATTTTTATACTGTTACCTGACCAATAAATACCTACCTGTTGAAGTGAACCCTCCAAAGCCTCTTCTTTCACCTCTGGCGTCTCTAGTGACCTCACCTTTGTTTTTTCTTTGGGCTAAAGTCTCCACTACATTGCGTAGATTCAATCAAATAGTAAAATACTGTCCAGTACAGGATCCTATGGAATACCCTGATCAGCAATGTGCATGACCACCCGTCAGACTGTACGTGGAGACAGATACAGATATATTCTCCAACGGGTTGTCTCATATTGAATGGGTTTCACAACCTCATAGATAGACATAGACTTAGGAGTTCATTTATAAAGGTTCCGATAGCGTTCACATGGCACTAGCACCCCTAGATGGCGCTGACGAGTATATTCCTATAATTTGTCAGCCTCATCTACGGGGTGCTAGTGCCATGAAAACATTGAATAAATGAACCCCATAGAGTGCATGCATCACATTGGTACCTTTTTTTAAGTATCTCATACCTTCTGATACTAATTGCTAAACTTAAAATGGATCTCCTTCTTCTTATCTGTAAAATATAAATCAAGGCAACTGGACTTGCTGTATTTTTTGTTTTTTTTAGATGTTTCGGACTAGCGTTCTCAATTCAAAAGCTAGTCGGATGACCAGCAAAACGTTTTCAAGAAAAATACAGCAAGTCCAGTTGCCTTGATTTTATTTTTTACAGATATACCATGACCCGGATGAATGAGACATATATCATCTCTTATTCCTCGTCTCCTGATTGTTTTGAGAACTTTTAGATTATTTTTTTTTAGATAGTTTTTTTTCACAGAAAGCCCAAAAAATAAAGGAAAATTAAAGTGATATTAAAGCCTATTTTTTAAAAAATTTCTCCTTCAAGGAGACTCTCCTTTGCTGGAGGCTGTTGCTTTTTTTCTTTAAAAGTTTTTCATTCCTCTTTTTCTAGTGGGTCCCTGAAGCACTCTTCCCCCCGCCCCCTGCACGGGTGCCACCATTGCTCTAATAGAGGCACCGGTGCGCACTCGTGCCCGTTTATTTCTGCAGTGGCTGTGTGCGTCCATAGACACACACAGCCCTGTGGCAGGCCACGCCCCTTCCCTCTTTGATGATTGATGACAGAAGGAGCCTATGACTCCTCTGCCATCAGTATCCTACCCCGCAACCCAAAAGTTCAGGGTACCGAGGATCGCTTCCGGACCGGCGGCGGGGACGAGCGCAGCTGAGTTAAGTCTGGGGGGGACTGAGGTAGAAAAAAGGTGCTGGGATGTTTTTACCATAATGCAGAGAATGCATTAAAGGAGAACTATGGGGTTAAGTCTTTTCCCCATAGTTCTCCTAAGGGTAACGGGAGGACACAAACTAGCGTCCTCCCGTCGCCCTAGGCTCAGTATATAGGGAGCTGCAGCTCGCGGTATACTGAGACGCCGCAGCTGAAGCGGATCCCGACAATTATGTCTGGATCTGCCCAGCTGCGTGAGTGACAGCTGGCTCTGCCTATCTAGAGGCGGAGCCAGCAGTACCCGCCCCCTCCCCATTCCGTTCTGCCAGTCAGCGCTGGCGGATCGGAGTGGGGAGGGGGGAATCCAGCAGAGAGCCGTGACAGGATCGAGAGGTGAGCGAACGCCGGTATGTGTTCGCTCACCTCCCCATCTACTGAGCCGACCTGTGACAGTCTCATTGTCACAGGTCGGCTAGAACTATGAGGTGAGTGAAAAGCACTCACCTCACAGTTCTCCTTTAAGGTAAAAAACGCCCAGACCTTAATACTACAAAACAAAAACAAAAACACAAATACAAAGAATAATAAATGAAATAAATGACCCTAAATACAGGCGCCAGAAAACACAATCTAAATACAAAATAGTAGATTCATATATTTTGTTCACCTACGCGGCAACAATGGTGAAGAAGGAACAACGTTTCGCTGGAAAGGATTTTATAAATCTAAAACAAATTATTATTTTACGGATACAAACCAACCAAAAACAAATCTAGATCAGCCTCCGCTGTTCGTTGAGGAGAACGTTCATTCTGCAAAAAAACAAGAACCGCGAAAACTTTTTTTTTCACCTGTTCATGCAATGTGCACCCCGCGGGACGCCCACCTCCACGCTGCTGTCCAGCTAATTAGCCGCCTCGCTGACTGCGTTCTGTATTTCTGAATTGATGGCTCCCTACCTGACATCTCATGACACGTGATTAGCAAACTAGGCCACAAATTTACCAAATAAGCAGTTTAGGCATTCAGGGCCGTTAACTCTTCGCTGGCCTTGCTCACTGCCACCGGTTCGAGGCTGGGACAGATTTGTACAATCATTTGTTATATTCATTAACTTTTTTTTTAATTGCATTCAATACGAGGCGATTCTAAAAAAAAGGAAAAGGATTCTTGACACTTTTTTTGCACAGATAATTTAGGCAATAGACAAACCCCAGGCTCCGCCCCCCTGATCAGGGAGACTCATGGATTTAAAGTGCTTTTTTTTTTATTGCTACTAGCGGCTTGGTGCCAGATACCACAGCATACCTTCAGAGGTCTAGTGGGGTCCATACCTGGATGGGTTAAGAAAAGGGGGACCTACTAAATATTAGGGGGGGTCATCCAGATACCACAGCATACCTTCAGAGGTCTAGTGGGGTCCATACCTGGATGGGTTAAGAAAAGGGGGACCTACTAAATATTAGGGGGGGTCATCCAGATACCACAGCATACCTTCAGAGGTCTAGTGGGGTCCATACCTGGATGGGTTAAGAAAAGGGGGACCTACTAAATATTAGGGGGGGTCATCCAGATACCACAGCATACCTTCAGAGGTCTAGTGGGGTCCATACCTGGATGGGTTAAGAAAAGGGGGACCTACTAAATATTAGGGGGGGTCATCCAGATACCACAGCATACCTTCAGAGGTCTAGTGGAGTCCATACCTGGATGGGTTAGGAAAAGGGGAACCTACTCAATGTTAGGGGGGCATCCAGATACCACAGCATACCTCCAGAGGTCTAGTGGAGTCCATGACCTGATGGGTTAGGAAAAGGGCGACCTACTAAATATTAGGGGGGTCATCCAGATACCACAGCATACCTTCAGAGGTCTGGTGGAGTTCATGCATTGACGGGTCAGGAAAAGGGGAACCTACTCAAAATTAGGGCGGCCATCCAGATACCACAGCATACCTTCAGAGGTCTAGTGGAGTCCATGCTTGGACGGGTCAGGAAAAGGGGAACCTACTCAATATTAGGGGGGTCATCCAGATACCACAGCATACCTTCAAAGGTCTAGTGGAGTCCATGACTGGATGGGTCAGGAAAAGGAGGACCTACTAAATATTATGGGGGGGCATCCAGATACCACAGCATACCTTCAGAGGTCAAGTGGAGTCCATGCCTGGACGGGTCAGGAAAAGGGGAACCTACTCAATATTAGGGGGGTGGTCATAATGTTATGGCTGATTGGTGTAAGTTATAGAGCTAATAAGGGGGCGGTGCTGCACTTTTTGCTTCTTCTTCATAGTTTTGTGAGTCGCTCTAATTCATGATACAATTTAATTCGACTTCATTGTGAATAAAATATATCGACCTGCAAGATCTTCAAAGGTATCGGAAGCATTTTTCTTTTAATCCAAAGTTTTTAAGTTGCAGAAACTTTCGACAAAAGATAAAATAAAAGGAAACGACAAACAATAAAAACATAAAAATGCCTATAAAGGGTCACTAAAGTGTGGCAGAATCAGCCAGGCAACGGTTAAGCAGCTGAAGGTTCCTCATCCTCGATGTGGGACTTGTGCTGGTGGGGAGCTGGTTGGACAAATGATTCGGAAACAGCGCTCCCTGAACTTTTGCCAGAACTGTCCCTCCCCTGTGACTCTGAATACAGAATGAGCTGCATGTTAGACATGTCAGTCCTCCATAAGCAGTTTAGTATGCTCAGCGTTTGCGGTACAAGAGGAATATAAAGGAAAAAGTCCATATATTATTTATGCCGGGGAGGGGGGTCAATCCCCAATGCCATGGAAAAAAGATTATCTTTCCGAGGCTGTACAGCTTAAAGGAAAACTCCACATTTTCATCTGTCTGCAGCCCTAAATACGTGTACGGGAGCTGTTTTACCTGCTGAAGGGTTTGGATTTCTGCCCATCCAGTCCTACGGTTTCCACAGCTCTGCCACAAATCATAGACCTATCCATAAGGGCCGCAGACCTGATTTTTCTTTGCTGCAGTTCAGTAACACTTATAGGTCTCCTCCCAACCCCCACCCTGTGACTAAACAGTGAAGGGGAAGCAGCAGGCTCATGAGGGTGCAGAGACCCCAAATTAAATCAATAATTTGGTCAAAAAACTCCATTCCTAAAAGAATGCAAATTTGGGGTTTTTCCTCCAATGCCAAACCTCAGATTTCCAGCCCAGCCGCAGGAGCCTCAGAAAAGGAGCCGAGGCCATAAATCCCGGCTGTTAAAAACATATAATTAGATGTGTCCTGTTCAGTTGGCGCGGCAGTTCATCCGCCGTCCAGTCCCAGAGCCGGACCGATTTACCGCCTGGCCCGGTCACAGCGTCATGTTTGTTCGCGTCCCGCAGACCCCCCCCCAATAGGCTGCCATTGACTTTCAATGTTATTAAGTCTCGCCTGCGTCCCCCGCAAACACCTTGAGAGTGCCATCTGCATCGTTACAGCAAACAGGACCAACGGGGACTGGACAGAGTCTGGATTACTTAGGAACATCGTGTAAGAAAACATCTCCAGACACTAAACAGACACACAGACCGCTGAAAACATGGCTGCCCGTTTAAAGCAGAACTCTGGCCTTCCCTTAAGTCTTCTATCTGACCTCCGTCCTTCCCTTCAGTCTTCTACCTGACCTCCGTCCTTCCCTTCAGTCTTCTATCTGACCTCCGTCCTTCCCTTCAGTCTTCTATCTGACCTCCGTCCTCCCCTTCAGTCTTCTATCTGACCTCCGTCCTCCCCTTCAGTCTTCTATCTGACCTCCATCCTTCCCTTCAGTCTCATATCTGACCTCCGTCCTTCCCTTCAGTCTCATATCTGACCTCCGTCCTTCCCTTCAGTTTTGTACAGTTGTAGCGTCTCCTCTCCTGGACTGAAATGGCTTCCTCTGATATCACTGCACACTGGAAGCCTCTCACAATGTGTATTAGAAGCTGCAGCAAGTCAGAGAGAGCTCCGCCTCATTTCCTGTCTGGAAGATGTGCAGGTCTCCGGTCACCGGCTGGGGGGTGGGTCCAGGACAATCTGGGCTCAGAGGAAGTGGGTTGAATGATGCTTATGAAACTGAGGACATCTAGTGGCAGAATAAACATAATTTGGGGAGTGAAGGTGAATAGTGGAGCAACAGCTGGTTTGTTTGTTTTTGCATAGCTCTTGATAAGCTAATCCTTGTATCTTATTTTATGTTGTTTTAGCTGAAGTTCCGGTTTAATATATACTGACAAATAGACACACTTAAAGCTTTTATACAATACAGGAATTTATAACTTTAATGATAACCTGTTAAATAATAATGTGTATCCAAATTTCATTTCCTTCAGGAAACGTGCTCGTCAATTCTTTTATAGGGGATGTTATTCTTAGTTTATAGACGGAGGTCGTTTTAAAGCCAAAATTTGCCCTGTTTATATTTGATATATATTCCATAAGACATTTTTAAGCTGAAGTCAGGTGCACAT